AAGAAATAGAGCAAGATCCTCGAGAATCATATTTATAGTGGGGAACTAGTGAGACAGCATCGAGTAGCATTTTATTTGACCTAGGGATTCGACGTAGAGAAACCTTGGGATGGTTTGGGATGTCCATGAAACGTTGTTTATTGTAAAAAGGGTGTCACAAGCTAGTAGGGTTGGTAGGGCCGAATGCAGCTTCATTTAGAGAGTAACCCCTAGAGCTGATCATCTGCACGTGCGCCTATCCTCTAACATGCGACAAATCTTGGCTCCCTTTCTATGATTCCGCTGTTCCGAGGAACAGTAAACCGTTACAAGATGATACCACCCGAAGTTTACAGCTAATGAAAATAATACTAATGCGTTTATTAAATTCGAACAGAGACGTGACCTATTTGGGGGTAAGGATGATGGTTAATAGCTGCTTGCCTGAAGACGTCGTTTCGGTATCACAAATACTGAAGAATAGAGCGGATAGACCAGCCACTAGTAAGTTTCATCCAATTTCAGGCAAAGACGGAGAAATATATTCTGATCCAAGTACGTGCTTTTGTTTCAACCCCGCAGGTTCAGGTCAGACCGCTTAAGAGGTAAGATGTGTAACACCGGCTTCCTACGCGCGTCAGGTGTTTGGACATGAGCTATTGTCAGAACCAACCACATGAATTGTTCTTCAGAATGCACCGCTCGAAAGATTAGCCAAGACGGTTGTGCAATGAACAGCTGTCCACTTTTCTCAACTGTTGTCTCACTAGCTGAGCCTTTTCTTGAATTCGCATGAGTTAGAACAGTAGTCACTTTTTCGCAATCACACTGGCTTTCTCCATCTTACGACGCCTTGCCGCTTACCAGCGTTCCCGATCAATTGGGAAACGTGTTGTTATCAGTTGCTCCACGGCTTTACGATGCGCAGGAATTGATGAGCCAGCGAAACCTGATTACAGAATTCGGTCAATCTGATCGACGTTTAAGAAATCCTATCGCAGTTCGAGCGTCTCAAATGGAGCAAAAGTATCCTACACACCCCATTTGAGACGATTCCAGCTGCCAATTGGCTCACCCACCTCGTTTGCCAATAGTAACAATTAGGCCAGCTCGTCATGACAATGAGTATCTGCGGACCACGAGTCCAATTTAAAACTGAGAATTCCAGAAGTTGGGTGCTTCGTTAAAAAGAGAAGAGTAGGCAACATGAGTGAGAGTACATGAGCACGATCAGAGTCTAGGTAGGTGTCCCAGATCGATAGACAGTCTGAAAATATGTGCGTCATCTGTAGTTGATGGTAATATGGTCGATTTGGATCCAGGTTATCGGGGTACTCGATGGGCACCAGATTACACGAGGTGAATGGCTGGGTGGAAAGTGTTGCCAATAAAAAGGTTGTGCTCAACACGAAGTAGGAAGAACCAATCGTCGTTATCTGATCGGTGTGCATTGACCTCGGAACCGCCTCCCAGTCCGAAAGGCAACAATTGGGCATTCAAGTCACAAACAATCATAACATTTATGTTCTTCGACATACGGATAATCTTTAAGAGCTAAGGATAGGCTGATGAAAATTACCTTATTTTGGGCAGTATATATTCACCATAATGGAGGTAGGAAATCAAAACGTACACCCAAATAATCACCAGTATGCAATCAAGTAGATTGTTGAGGGCAATACCATCCACACACGACTTAAGTCGTTGATTTAGTGCGGCCAGAGACGCGACGACTGCATCCATTGTAGACAGATTCGAAACCAGGGAGTCATGGATTCTTTTCGACACTGTTACTTGGTATGTGTGTTGCGGAGACACAGCATACACGAAAATTTATAGTCTTGAGTGATCGAACATGTCGCGTATACAAAAGCAATTACACCGTAGAATATTGGACAGCGTAAATAGCTCAGCGCAACTAGTGTGCAGCAGCTAGCGAAACGATTTTGTTCGAACCAAAAAAGCTTCTTTACAAACACTTCAATAGACTCCGTAAGGTTCAGCCTGGAATCCCGCCACTCATTACGGTTGGTGGGAATACACAAACAGCGATGGAGACGGCCAACGCCTTACGTGCCCAGTACACATTTACTTTCCAGTGAGTACAAGCCACGAACACTATTCCTACATCTGTCACTCCAGTGTCATATTCACAGCAGAAACCATGGCGAAAATCTATTATCCTTGCGTACACAAAGCTCTCACGGTGTATAATAGTCATCCTAAAGCACTACAGGTAGCAGTCATGCACCTAGCCGAATCACTTGCTGGATTCTTTCAGGGTTTTCTAGACGAGACCATAGTTCCGTCAAAGTGGAAACTGGGTATTATAACCCCCACTCACAAAGGAGAAAGTACCGCCCGGTAACGCTTCTCCCTGTGCTTGTCTAGGTCATGGAAGTGATCATCGCAGACTCACTGATAGGTTACCTGGAAAGCTACGGCATCATAGCGCCGAAACAGCAGGGGTTTCATCAAATTCGATCGTGTGCTACGAATCTGTTGATGGTAAGGGACAACTGTGGCAGGGACCTACCACTGAGGTTACCCTTGGTGGTGATCAGTTAGAAGTTGTTCAGCTATATTAGCGCCTGTGGGATGGAAGATGAGGTTACGAACCGTACAGTGAAAGAGGTGCTTTTGCTAATCTCCGCCACCCGCTTCATCGATGCGACATCACTCTCGCCCTAAAGTGCAGAGTTTTCCATGCAGCCGTCCGTTCAATCCTCCTGTAAAGTTTGTAACGGTCGACTTCCTACTGTCTCGAAGTTAATCAAAAGCTGTCAAGAACGGGTTCCTTATGCTGGTTTACGCATGTGCCAACTTGAATTTCTGCTAACCCTGGAACGTCCTACCAAACTCAGTTGCTTAGCTGTTTTCGAAAAAAAACGATTGAATCTCGAACTGAACTCCATACACTTTGTTACATGAACAGATATTTTGGATACATTCAAGTCAGCTAGCCTCCTTGGAATTATAACCCTTAGTGACGCACGTTAATCTGTGCAGAGAGGTGAACAATCTGCTCGATATTTGTTATTATCATTAACCATGACAACTCGTTATTCCGTTTTGCATGGTATTATCTGTCCCAACCCCCTATTCTATTGCTTCACAGATGCGTATTTTATTTGGTTAACTTGTGTAGTATTCGAATGCCAGTTTCTTCTATAACCAACTTACCGGACACGTTATACTTATGTGTGTTTACCCATCGTAAAACATTGTTTCATTGTACGTCAATCCCAAAAGAGTGGAAAGTGGGAGCTAGTGTTGCGTGTTGGCAGATCTGAACGGTGAACAAGCCAATGTGAAATGTGACACGTGGTTTAAAGGAATATGGACATGCCTTCCAGGCCGTGGACCATGCTACACGGACTCCCAGTGTTTGGAAACGTTGGACGTTATGAGCCACAACAGATACCATGGAATCCAGCATCGTTCTACCGTATCACCAACTACAAAAACTTCAATCGAAAAAATAAAAACGGCGTCCGTGAAACAAAAAAATATCTGCCTTTTTGTTCTACTACTGTCAGATAAGGTTGCAAGGACGAAACAGGCTCCCGCCATGGTTCTTATAGCAAATTGTCTGCAGCCAAGAAAAAATATATGTATATATACAGTGCAATCAGCTATGGGGACCACCTGTTTATGGCGAAAACCTGTCTATGGAGACCACTTTTTGTCGATTCCCAACGTTTTCTCTTATGAATAGTCTTCCTATGCCTGAACCTGTCCATGGGGACCACCTGTACAAGGGGAACACCTTTTTCCGGCCCCTTGGGCGGCAATGGCTGTCACCCGTTTCGGGATTTGACTTGCATCATCAAAATGCAAAGCTTTCCTCCAAGATTGGCATGGATCGCCCCTTGCGTTGACCCTTGGTGGGGATCAGCTAGAAGTCATCCAAAATTCAACCACCTGGGAAGTTGTATCAGCGACCGTGGAATCGAAGATAAGATCACGAACCGTATAGCAAAAGCTCGAGGTGCTTTTGCGAGCCTTCGCCACCTATGGCGCCGGTGTGACATCACTCTCCTCCTGAAGAGTAGATTGTACAATGCAGCCGCATGTTCGACCTTACTGTACGGTTGCGAAACCTGGCCCCTTAGATCAGCTGATAGATTGAGGCTAGTTACGCTCGACCACTGTGGCACTAAACCAATTATACTGTAATTAGTATAGTATTATATATATATATATATATATATATATATATATATATATATATACGTTCGACCGCCGGTACCTTCGCAGTTTGGCTCACATCTGGTTGGAACACCGTGTGAGCAACCAGCGTGTTGGACGACTTGTTCACTGCACAGAAAAACGAACTAAACCGATCAGAACCGTCATTTCATGCACCAGGCGCCGATGGCTCGGCCACGTGTTACGCATGCTAGCTCACCGGGTCCCCTGACGTGCGTTGTTTGCTCACCGTGGGTATGGATGGAAGAAGAGAAGAGGTGGGCAAGCGATGACTTGGTCGAGAGGAGTGAAGGCCTTCACTTGGAAGCTGGCCTCGGCTGGAGCGTCACGGCTCCCTGGTTGAGGTCAAAAGGACGATGAACACGTTTGGCTAGATACACTTGCTGATATGTCTAGAAGCCGACTTCAGTGGCGCTCCTGATGTGTTTCTTTGTCCCTCCCCACCCCTTTTAGTCTCCCACTGCAATCACGATCTCATTTCGTAGCATAATATAATTTGTATAATAATTTTTGTTGTTGGCTAGTAGCCGGCTGGTAGTTTTCCGGAACGATTCCCATCCTTTGCTGGTAGCTCAGCTGGAATGCAAATGTTGAATTTTTTCTTTAATATATTGCGGCACAGTAGCTGAGGTGTTTTACATCTCTAGCTAACGTGTATAATAATGATGAATTGGGTGTTCGCCTTAGACAGGATCGACCATATATATATATATATATATATATATATATATAAAATCGCTTTTACCAGGAAAGGACGCACGTCGCATGTGTACAAACGGAAGGCCGTTCAGGAAATGCTCAAAACTCACAGATTTTCTTTCGTTGATATGGACCGGCTCACGTCCGCAGATGCAAAGTCAGGCGAATAATCTTTACTTTTATCTTGTAAGTTGGATCTCTTGGAAAAACGAAATTTGGGCGGACTGCCTTCCAGTGGGTCTGGTCCTAATTCCCCCTTTTGCAGTGTTGGGGAAAAATCACCCCATTCTCCCCTCAGAGCCCCCCTGGTTTTCTTACGTTCGATACACGAGCGATTGTGGTGATCTTCATCGCTTTTACGCTCAAGTCGGGCTTGCAAGCGGCGTTCCAATGTTTTGAAATGAGCACGATCGTTCAGATAGACAACGCATGTTCCCAACTCTTGTTCGACGCGCTTCCGTTGCCCAGTAATGGAAGAGTGGTGAATCAAATAAGCCGCCTGAGGATTCAGGCAAAAAGGGATAGCATTGCCCGTACGGTAACGAGATTCTAGCTTAGAGATGAGAATCTCTGATGGCACAGAAGTGCGCTTCTCACCGACATAAAGAGAATTCGGGCTGGTGGCTTTCGTAACTCTCGTTCGACGACTGTAATCCAACGAGTCCTCATAGTCACCTTGCAGATAAGTCCATGACAATTTTCGATAATCCGGGTGGGATAGCGATCGCAAAGAAAGATCTTTACAATAGTCCAAAGTTTCACTTCGGCTAATAGGCACCTTTGCTGTTATCTCAAAACTTTCTCTGCGTGGATTCGCGTTTGTGGCAATTTCCTTAAATGGTTGCAAGATATCCGCTTCAGGGAAGCTGGCACACAAATTGCGAGTTTCCTCTTCTGGAACATAATTCGTGCACCCGAATGGCATTGATGAATGGATCTGGTGTAGTCGCAAAGCGTGAGGTGGATTTTCCATCATCTGAGTGAGTTCTATCCACCAAGTGGAACTGGATCGCATACAGTTGGGAAACTTTGAATGGGATGAAAATCGATTGCCTGCAGAAACCGTACTGAAAGAAACAATAGTTACAGTAAGTAAGATTTCTACTGTGTGGGGACTGCACTGTGAGATGAAGATGAAGTTGGTCTAATGATAGCTCAACAAGATGGCACTGTCCTTTAGTCGGAAATGAATAGGCACCCCAGAAGTCAGTTCCGTGAAATCATTCAAGTGAACAGAAAAAAGTACTGAACTAGCGCACTGCTAGCAAGACGACGTTGGTTATAAATCCTAGTGACGTCCAAACAGGTGCTTTAGGTGCGAAGTCTGCAGTATTGTAGAGATAGAAGGACGAGAAGAGATTGAAGAACGCTAGCTGTTGCATGGCGTTTGTGTTGTGAGCCTTTTGGTTCCTTCCCTCCCCTTTGGCTTCCCCTCCAACAACGATCTCAAATCCTATGCATAATGTGATATAGAGCATTATGTTACTACTCTTAAAGATTTTTTAGTCTAGATTGTTTAAGCTCTTGTCTTTTTGGCTGCGACATAGTAGCTGGGGTGCGTCTCTCACCTTCGGCTAACGCGTGCTGATAAGGAGCTGGGGCATGATGAACCCCGGATAACAAGTGAACCCAAGAATTTATATCGCACGTGGCCGTTGCCACCATACAAATACTCGGTCATAACAACCACCAGGATCAATCGGAAGTGTGCTGTATGGGAAATGATGAAAGATAACTCTAAACTGACGAACTGTACGAAGATGTCTAGTTCCTAAAACGTGTTGCTACTATTTGTTCGATTTCAGAATCAAATCGCAATGCTTCGACTTCCGATCACTCGCCTTTACTGTGGCGCCAGAATTACACTATTCACTGGTTGAAAGCCCGGGTTAATTCTTATACAAGACAGTGAGACTCCACCTTTTCGGTCTGATGCGCCTTCAAGTCTTGAAACATTATCGCCCGCAGAGTGCGGCATCAGCTACCCGCAGAAGATTGCTAATCAACGACGAGGCAAATTAAGTCAGTAAGCCAACGTATAAAGTAAAGTTGCACCGGCTAGAACCCGTGCGACGTGGCCCTATTGTATACGGAAATCACTGCACGAGCCGAAGGTCCGCTCCGGTAAACAAACTACTGTACTCTGAAACCTATCTAACCAGATGATTAGATTAGGAGGCAAATAGAAGAATAAACCAGTAGGAAAACAAATAAAACGCACTTACGTGTATGTGTGCCTGGGGTTGTGTGCACATGTCGTCACGCATGTTGTACACACACCCACATCACCTCTCCGTTCAATCAGGTGATGTGCCGAAACCATATCGATTCGGTGGTCTTAGTTCTCGGCCTGTCCTGTGGAGCTGCGTGTTATGCGTGGTTTCGGCAGTGAGATTGGTGGCAGGTGCTACTTGTGAATAACCACCGTGTGTTGACTGTGCGGCCATCTTTCAGCCGGTAAGTGCCTGGCCCATATGCGCGCGTTATTGTTATCTGATCTGATTATGTGGACTGTCCTTTTGACGCAGCGTTTAACTTCGCAGGCACGAATGTTCCGGGCTGGGGCGGAGTTGTAAGCTTCCGGTAAGTGGTCTGATATCGATGGCGACGATCGGCCTGGTCGGAATCAATAGGTACAGGAATCGGAAGTACCGCATTCAATTGTGTCCGAAGGGCACGCCCAGACATAGTTCAGCTGGCGTTTTGTCTGTGGTTCGGTAAGAAAATAATGCCTGTATAACTGCATCCTCCTAACCTGTACTAGATAAACGAATAGGATGGATAATCTCTTTCAAGAGTCGATTGAAGCGCTCTACCATCCCGTTTGCCGCTGGATTATACGGGGTTATAAGTGAGTGCTGGATGGCGTGAAGTTGAAGGGGCAGAAGCATCTCGTGACTTGTAAACTGCGGTAAGGCGTCTGTCATTATTAGTCCGAAACGAGAGAACATGTATTTCAGCCATCGAATAATGCTGGCAGTAGTTATATCCATACAAATGGACGTCCGGCCATTTACTGTATAAGCATATCGCCACCAAACAGTTTCTTTGATGCTGAGGCACTGAGCTGAATAGACCCATGATATCAAGAGCTATATTGGCCCACGGTCGCATAGGATAGCCAATGGGTTGTATAGGAGAGGAAACCGGCTTTGAACACTTATCTGCCCTTTGACATGAAGCGCAGTTATGAACAAGTTTTTCTATTTCGTGTGACATTCTGGGCCACCAAAAGCATGCGTCAAATTTGCGTTTCGTACGAACGATATCAGAGTGGCTTCGTGAATCCATAGCATGATCTTTTGCAGCAAGCTCCGAGGATCTACAAATTTTTCACCGCGCATTAAACATCCATCTATAAATGAAATTTCATGACGCAACACATAGTATGGACGGAATTCGTCTGTGATCTTGTTATTTTGTGGCCAGCCGTTTAGCAGAAACCCATGAACGTGGCAGTGTGTCGTCTTCCTGACTCGCCTTCTGTAGCTTTTCCTTAGGCAGAGCCGTGATTACTTCACTGCTCAGGAAAGACACCAGCAACCACACATTACAATCCACATTATTTTCAGTTTCATCGAGAGAGCACATCCGCTGTCTGATTTTCACGCCTAGGACGGAATCTAATTTGAAAATCATGTGTTAACAAGCGGGCTTACCAGCGATGTATCCGAAGTGGCCTGACGCCATTTGTCCCCCGAGTAAGTAAGCTAGTTAGCGCTGCGTGCTCTGTATGAAGGGTCTTCTGAACAATAACAAATTCCACTTCTCACAGGCTCAAACGCAGGCAAGGACGTCTTTTTCCCCGGCAGAGTTAGAAAGCTATGCCGCCGGCAATTTTATGGAAACGTATGCAATAACTCTTTCATGCCCATTCATAATTTGAGATAGTATTGCACCGAACTCAATGTTTGAGGCATCAGGAGAAACAATCGTGGGACATGCCTCATCAAAAATCGCCATGCCTGATGTGGAAGCTATGCGGCGTTTTATCTCATCAAATGCCGTTTGTTAAGGTTGACTCCAAACAAATATACTTTCTCTTCGTCAGTTTACGCAGTGGCTCAGCAATGTCCGTAAATCCTGCAGGTAACGTAGGTTGTAAGAACACACCTAGAAAATGCTTTATCTTAGTTGAGCTCTGTAAACGAGGAGCCTCGGTGATGGCACGCGTGCTGTCAACACTCGGATGCATACCGTCAGTTGTTATAATGTGGCCCAGGAACTCGATTTCACTAGCATTAAATTTGCACTTCTCAAAATTTAACCTGAGGTAAAGATCATGTGATCGACGTAATACAGCATGCAGTCATGGATCACGATATTCTGAGGTCCTACCAAATACACAGATGTCGTTCATATAAACTATTTGATCAAATAAATTGGCATATTAGTGGGCCATAAAGTTTTGCAAAGCTACTGAGGCTGAACTCAATCCCATTTGCAAGACTTTGTACTGAAAGAGCCCGCCCATTGTAAGAAATGCGGTCAGCGGTCTTAACTTCTGAAATAGAGGAATGTGAAAGAAAGTGTCATTTATGCAGTTAAGTATTGATTCGTGAACACAGGCGGTCACGTGAATAGTTAACAAGGACCATGCGTAACCTTCCTTATTTCATTGGTGTTTCCTTCCGGTATTTCTAGCCAATGTAATTTGGGAAGCTTTTATTAAACGGTCCCATGCCACGCATGCGAGTTCTGTTCCGTCCATCGGCTAAGGGCCATACTTAACATAAAGCCGTCCTCACGTCCCATTTTGACTAATAGTTCATCCGCGGTTGGAAGCACAAACTTTTCGATCACCATTTGATGATTAAGGGCCTAAAGGTCATTGCATATTTGCATTGTACTGTCTTTCTTGTAGACTGTAACCATAGGGTGGACCCAAATGGAACAGTTAATGGGTTCAATGAAATCATCTGCAATCATTGTTTGCAACGCTGAGGGAACAACCTCTCTTCTGACCAAAGGAATGGGACGTGGCTGAGCAATAGCTATCGATTTAGCGTCCTGTTTCAGACATAGGCGGTGAATAGACAGGGGCGCACCCTATTGTTTGCTCAAACAGTTTCGGGTACCGAATCTGAGGCCTGATACGTTAACCGACATGATACGCATGCCAGATATAGGGACGGCGTGACTCCCAGTGCAACCATAGCGTTGCGCCCGAGTAGAGGAGGGTTATTTCCGCGGGTAACGGATATAGCAACTGATGATTTCACGGCCCCGAGTTGCAAAACGATTACCACAAATACTCATATTTCTACCGGGGCCTTTCGATAACTGGCAAATCGAGAGGCTGAAGGATGTATAGGCAGCTCATGTAGGTGACCGTCATATAAAGGACTTGGTACTACAATAATAGGAGAAGATTAATTAAGTTCCATGTCAACATGTGTTGTTCTATCGCGTGTAATAACTGTAACCGTACGAACGTAAGGCATAGAGAGTTAAGGCTCTGGACAAGGGGAACGATAGTGAGAAACAGTACCGCTGTAATCAATGGAAAATACATTTTCAGATGACTGTAAATACTGACCAGAAATGGAATCTGTAAGATGCAAATGTGAAAGACGTACTGAACGACAACAACAGGCAAAATCTCCACGCTTACCGCTTTTTGCAATCCATTTCTAAGGTAGAACACTTGGCAAAATTGGCTTTATGCTGCAGGCTGCAGCAGCGGAAGCATTTCTGTGGGGATGGGGATTCGGTTGGCGAGCGATGGATCTTGTCACCACCTGTATGTTTGCGTGCGTAGCGAAACATCGCAACTACATATCTTGAGGCAAGGTACTTCCACAGCTTTACCTTAAGTCAATTTGGTAGCGTCTTCGGAAAGTAGGCATTCCCGAATTCGGTTACTTGTGACTTCGCTAATCAACTGTTGCACCAGCATGACACCCTCGATTCCATTTGTCGGTATGATTGGATACACGCAAAGTCGTACACCATCATCATCATCAATGCACGTTAGCTGAGGGTGAGAAACACACCTCAGCTAATGTGCCGCAGTACAAAAAGATAAAAAATTAAAAAAATTACACTACAAAAAGTAGGACGTTGAATAGTGTATTATGCGTTTTGCATGAGATCGGAGTTGGATGGGAAACTAAAGGGAGGGGGATGGATAAAGAAACTCACAACGCAAATGACATTGGGGCCGGCTCCAAGCCATATCAGCAAGTGTGTCCAACCAAATGTGTTCATCATCCTTAGGACCCCAGCCAGGCAGTCGGGATGCACCAACCGACACGAGTTTCGAAGTGAGAGTTTTCATTCCTCTCGACCAAGTCATCGTTTGGCCTCCCCTCCTCCTCTTCCAACCGCACCCCCGGCGCGCAAATAATGCACGTCGCGGGAGTCGGTGTGCTGACATGCACAATACGTGGCCCAGCCATCGAAGCCTGGTGCGTGACATAATGGTGCTGAGCGGTTCACTCGCTCTTCCTGCACGAAGTACGCGACGCCGAACACGCTCATTGCTCACGTGGTGCTCTCAGCAGACATGAGCTAAGCTGCGAAGGCAGCAATGATCGAATGTGACGAGCCTCTTTATGTCCGTCGACGTGATGGACCAGGTTTCACAACCATGTAGGAGAGTTGAACGGACGGCTGCGTTATAAACTCTGCCCTTCAAAGCGAGAGTAATGTCGCGTCTGCGCCACAGGTGGCGGAGATTGGCAAAAGCCCCTCGAGCTTTTGCTATACGGTTCATAACTTCCTCTTCGATCCCACGGGGCAAATACAGCTGTCCAGGTATTTGAATTCCTGAACGACTTCTAGCTGATCACCACAAAGCGTTAGCGCAGGGATAGGTCCCCGCCAATCTTGGAGAAGTACTTTGCATTTCCATGTAACAAAGCATAGCCCGAAACGATTGACAGCCAGTGATAATCGGTCCAGTGCCGCTTGACATGTTTGGGAGCTGTCACAGCTTAGGGCAATATCGTCCGCGTACTACAAGTCAAGAAGTCGCTCACCAGCAAGTAGCTCCACAATTTCTTGATCGTGTCCAGCGAACGCTGTTTTCATGGTTTCGTCAACTGCGAAGTTAAATAGGAAAAATGACGGTAGGCAACCCTGTCTCACACGGATGGTGATACTGAAGGGTGGCGAAAGTTTGCCATAAAGCCTCACCCTGCCCGAACTATGTGCGTACAGCGCTTTGATAATGTTTACATATTTATCAGGCACACCTTTCCTTAGCAGACAGTCCCAAAGGGCACGTCGATCGACTGAATCGAAGGCACCTTTTATGTCATGAAACACGACAACGGTGGGTCGCTCATATACATGGCGGTGCTCCAACAATTGACGCAAGGTGAAGATGTGGTCGACGCAGCCCCGACGTCGACGATAACCCGGTTTGCTCTCCACGAATCTGGCTTCCACGAGTGCCATTCAGTCTGTGGAGAATGACAGACGCAAGCAATTTATTGGCAATTGAAATCAGACTGATCCCTTTGTGATTGCTGCATTCCGACCGGGAGCCTCCCTTGAAAATT